GGGGGGGGGGGGGGGGGGGGGGGTCTACTCGTTTAGTGGGTAGAACACTTAAGTGAAACAACGTGCTTGAGCATTTAGTAAGTGCCCGTAGACTAACGAAAGCGTACTCGAGGTTGGCCTTTTGGAAGGGGTTTATGCTGGTGTTGTTCCCTTCCCGTCTATTCTGGTCTACACCGTTCGGTATAAGCTCGATGCACCAACCGGGGCCGCAAGGGAGGAAATGTCTCACCTGTCCATCTTTCCTCCTGCGATGCTTGCCTACAGTGTTTGACGCGAGAAAGATTCATTCGTTCAGCAGTCTTCCCTCTTTTGTGGTGTGTACTCGCGACAACTATCAAAATGAAAGAAATTCGCCTCAGGCGGGCAGCTCGGTGTATTGCGAATACAATTTCGGTGTGCAATAGAATCGAGAGAAAACGATGGGCCATAAAAAATCCTTCTTTAATAGAAATATGTTGCAGAGCGCCTGGACATTTGCAGGTACATCTCGTTTTGTCTTGGAGAGAGAATAATACGCGTGTAAGGTGGCTTCCAATCAACTGGCCGTATCACTTCGTCGGTACATACGAGTAGGGGGACTGTAAGATGCTAAATAGATGTACTCGTAAGCTTACAACATGGAATGGAAAATTGGGCATTCGCCTATGGACATGTCCTGCCGAAGACCATTCTTTTTCAATTCAACGCTTCCAAGTACAATGAAAGCACACCATTCTTAAGGTTTCCTGATCAAAACCTAAAACAAACAATATAGGAATAGTAGTATAAGATGAAATTGTGATAGGGGGGGGGCTCTTTTGCGGCGGTGAAATTTCAGGGCACAGCCAGAGCCCTCAATAGCGCCAGACTGGCGTTATTGAGGAACGCCCGCAATAGCGCCGGTTTGGGCTTCTGGCGCTATTGAGGGACGCCCGCAATAGCGCCGGTTTGGGCTCCGCTACACCCGGCAATAGCGCGTTTTTTGTATTGTTGACACACACACAAACACATACCACGCACCTGCCCTGAGGAAACTTGAGGGAGTTTGTTGCGACGGAAGTTATTGAAGCGGAATGAGGAGGAGAGAAAACTCGGGGGGGAAGTCAAAGCCGTTATTCTGTGCTGTTTCTTCTCGGAATAGCGGGCTTGGTGTCTGATTTTCTACATGTGGCGCTTCTTTCGCGGTCGTTTCTTGTTCTTTCTCGCTACATGGATGAGGCGCGATTGATTGCGGTTGCACGTTTCTCGTCCACATGCTTTCTTTGCTGTTGTACGATTCTTTACAAATATTTTTTCCTTTCAATGATGCATTGGGTGCAGTTGTGTCGTCTTTCCGCTGTCGCGGTGTCCTTCCTGTAACGGCAACGCGTCCGGTTGCACCGCGCCTATTTGTGATGCAGGAGGATTAGCATGCTGCCGCCCTTCTAGACGATCAGTTACAAAACACAACAAATTTGGCAGTCCAGGAACATAATTTATCCTTTGCAGTCCGCCCACTTCACCACTCAATCGTTCCTATTCAATTGGTGAATCTGTTGGCTCAGTAAAGCGCAATCGCTGCGCCACATGACCACAATCCCTCAATAGTGCCACAACCGGCGATATTGAGGGTTTCTGAGTCTTCAATAGCGCCGGTTGTGGCACTATTGAGGCACTATTCCAATAGCGCCAGTCGCCCTGAATAGCGCCGGTCGATGCGCCGGGCACATACCGGCGTTATCACTGTACTAATTTAAACAAGAAAACTGATAAAGAAGTCGGTAGAGTGCGGGGAACAAGGAAGGCTTGCTATGTTAACCATTATGTGACTATAGGCCGATTTAGCTCCGTTCTCAGCTCCGATCACTTTGCGTGCCGAAAGATCGCCGTTGGGCCTCGCTTGAGAGCGAAGAACATACATGGAGATCAGCAGTGAGACACAGAGGCAGCACACCCCAGAAGCACGCTTACCAGCAATGCGCACAGGACACACAGTACAATACTATTCACCATGCATGCCCAATCTCTCTGACGTGGGGCAGATATCCTTCCCAGATCCAATCTACTGCCTACCGGTACTGCTGTAAGATTCAAACGCAAAATACCACCGGAGGGTACATACAGCACCCTCAACATGTGATCGACCCGGTGCCGCATCCGCGGGGGAGAGTAGAGAAAACGCACACCGGAGCCGATGCGAATGTACTGGCTCGGTGCTTGATGTTTGTTGTGATTGCGGTGCGTGTGGTTCCCAGTAATGGGAGTCAAGGAGGTACGTCTGCTGTTTGCAACCTTTCGCTCAAAGGCAAAGGGTCTTCACGACTACACCTCCGATCACACCTCCGATCTATTTTTAGTACAGAATTGTAAGATGTATCGATTTTTTGTGTGCATTATGTGCGATAGTCGGTGATGGTCTCGGTCCTCTGAGTGGGTCATTACTTTTTTCATCGATCCTGTGCGCTTCTGTGAGGCGGTTTCCCGTCAGCGTCTTCGCATCTAGCGCTGCTAGCATATGCGCGCCTTTTGCCGTATACTCTGTCCGAGGATGAGGCGGAGAAGATGTGCCAACAGGTATTGCTTGGACAGGTACATCCTCTGTGCGGATGGAATGACTGTCGGAGACAGGCATCC